TCATTACTGTTTACTTTAAATTTGGAGTAAACTCTCTTAGGTAAGCGGTTACACCGAATTGCCTTTTATGTTAGCGGCATTAATAATGAACTTTGGTTTCTATTTGATTTTACAAACAGTTTTCTTTGTTGTAATTCCGTTCGCCGAATGAATTAATTTCATCTCCCTTTTCCCATTCCCAAATACGAGATAAAATGTCCCAAAAAATTTACTTGCGAACACCCTTGTTTATAATAGCGAACAATTTCCAGGATCGTTAATAACAAATCGTTAGAATGATTGATCAATTTTTACGCTAAAATACACTTAACCTGAAGAGAGAAATGTCAGCAGACAGCAATAGTTTTTCACCATAACAAATAAATAGTAATTCATGCATTGATATTATATTGACGTTGGTGAATCAAAGTTTAACGTGCGCCGACTTGGTCTACTCTGTCGCACAGCGCATGCGCAAAGCGGTTAGGAAATTACAGAAGTCTCCTTGTGCGCTATCTCTCTCAACGTGCTATGTTTCTATGGCAGAGACCGCCAGTGCAGCATAATTACAGTGCAGTGTACAGATATGATAAAACGGCTACAAGATAGGTAGGTACATATTATTTAAGACCATGTCAATTTGAAAATAAATATGCTTGTTTATTCAAAACAGATTTATCTGCATGATGAAACACTGCCGTGTGTGCTTATTGATTTCTGTAAAATAAAGTTTTGGTAAGAATCTTAAATACATATATTGGTTCCATCGAGGGTTACAATTAGTTTGAATTGAACTCACCAGACGCTTAAATCCAAGGAAAGCGCAGACTATTTTAACCAACCATTATATATATCTGTAGTTTTTAAATCTGTGATTTTACGTGGTTGAATAGTGGTTTAAAACGCAAAGATTTTTTTGGAAAACGACAACATTCTTTCCTGTCGTTTTATCTATGATCAAGAATTTTACTACATAATACTTCAGGGTGAAAAAAAGAGGATGTGAAGTATTCCACCAAGTGATATGCCATGTGTCATTTGTAGTACTTTTTGGTGGGTGGGAAAAGCGAAGCTGCAAGGTAGCAAAATGTGCTACCATTGAATTGATAACTATCAGAAGCGCGGGTTAAATGGCAGGATATGTGACTGTTTTCAATAGTTTAAATTACAAGACGTAGATGTCTCTACCATCGAGAAAGATGAATAATAATGTCAGTTTTTTACCTTTGTTAATTATTATACAGGAATCTGTAATGAACCCACTATCTCGATTTGTAATTGTTGTATACAGAATTCTAGATACCCAAGAAACGTACTTATAAGGCATTTATGTGGCACACAGGATGTTGAATGACGTAAGATAAACATTCTTCCTTTCATGAATCGTGACCTACTTAACATTCCTTAAGGAAGATTGAATTACATTTGAACAGGAAAGCAAAAAATACGCAGGCATCCTTGATCACTGTAACAGAAATTAAATGTACCTACCTATCTATTCTTAATTTTTGTGTGTGTCGGTTAAACCGTTGCCACCGGTTAAACTACCTAGGACAGGGGTCGGCAACCTATTGAAACGGAAGAGCTAAAAATTACAATTTACAAAATTTCCCAATTCTTAAAGAGCCACAAATAATTTTTGATTCAATATTATAGTTTTTGGCTATATACAGGGTCCTGCAACAGTCCGTCGGTTTTTCCTACATAGCTGATAGATACCTGGTAAAAATATTGGTGGTTGCGGATCTACAGAAATTATTTTTGAATGTACAGGGTGTTCCATTTTTACGATGTCAATTAATAACTGATCTTTTTAAATAGAACCTCCTGAATATTTGGTTGTTTCAATGCCGTTTGTTCAAAGTGCTATAACTATTCTTTTTCAAATGGAACTACCACTATTTTATTTCGCTATTCGCTTTTGTCTTCCCTTAAATGTTTATAAGGGGTGTCCTGTGCTTAAACTCCGCAGTGTTTAGGTTATTCAATATTTTTCACAAAAGTACCTACTCATTAATTAATTACGTGTTTATACATCGGAGTAGGCTGGCTATAATAAAAAAACAAAAGAATACCAGAAAGTAAACAAGTGTCAAAAATTAGATAATTATTTGCTGCAAGTATACTTTTGATACAAAATAAGATTAATTAAAAAGGCGAATTTCGAACAAATGAACTAATTTCTTTAGATAAATACGGAGAGCCGCAACTTTATAGGTATCAAAAGAGCCGCAGGTTGCCGACCCCTGATCTAGGATCACACGTCACACCTGGCAATTTTGATACAAAATAAAAAGGTCGTTAACCTCTTTTCTTTTAAATTCTGACGTTTGAAATTTGTTCTCAATGGTTAATCGATAACTTATCGATAATTATCGATTAATAGATAGTCAATCGATAAATTTTAAAAAAATGGTCGACCGGTCAACAAAAAAAGAATTTTTTTGCGCATGGGATTTACACAATATATATTCTGACTATAATAAGCAAAAATAAATAAAAAGTGCGATTAAGACATCGAAAATATTTGCTTTTACAAAAGTTACAGCGATTTGATTGAAAGCTTTCAGGGGCGAAAATTAAAGCTGGAAGAAAAATGGAGGGTGATATTTTTCCGCGGTTACTTAGCAAAGAGGAAAAAAAATCCTGGAACAGTTTTAAGGCAATAGTCCATGGTTTCCCGTTCAGTGTTTCCTGGGAAACCATAGAGCTGAAAATTATGACGAGCTGACAGGATTTGGTTTTGTATCATGGGGTATAGAATGTCTCTAAAGAATAAAGATGCACAGGTTACATTCTCATTTAGATCAATTTAAGGATAATATGGGAGCTTATTCGGAATAAGGACAACACTTTCTCGAGACAATGGAACTTAGGCGCCTTCCCAAGGCCAGGAAGTTGGAAGCATGATGGAAGATCAGATTCAGTTGAACATGACAAAAACAGCAAAACTGTTCCATTTTAAACATTTAGACTCTAAGATAAACAAATTATAAATGTAGAAACGTTACCATTTAATAAATCATGCCTATGTAAGTAGGATTCTATAGGTATTTTTATTTTTTGGTTTTTTGCATTTTTTTTACACAAAAACAAATACATAACCATTTTTTGTTCTAATTCTTATTTGTGGCTATAGAAGCAATAAAAATAAGGTATATATGTCCCATGCGCAAAAATGCTGTAGGCCGGTGTAATTTATCGAAAATGTTAAAGGATTGGTCGATAAACCTATAATTACCGATAATCTATCGATTAATCTCACAACTATAAACTATTAAGATAGATAATTATCGAGAGAATTTTTAACGACATACACTTTTCAATGTTTAGGTATACCAGTTTACTTCCAACAAAAGCGATGTAAGAGCATTGTTGAGTTGCCATATGATCACAATTCACAACCTACTGCTGTACTCTTTTTTGAGGATTATCGTCCACTTGATCACCTTTGATTTCAGAAAACTTGAGCATCAAAAGATCCTGTTTTATTTAAATTATCTCTCGCAATACCAATACCAAAAAAACAAAAGTGTTAGCGAGTGTACGCATGGATGATGTAATATATCGATTGAGCATTGAGAATATATATCGATGAGATTTATGAAAAAGTATCGATAGTTTTCTCTTGATAATTTCCGCTACTTATCTATTAATCGATAAATATCAGAGATAGACAATTTTCGTGGCAATAATAATCGATTATTATCAGCAGCTAACAATCATTATTAATTATTTTCAAAAGTTATCGATAATTATAAAAAGTTATCGATAATTATCAAACCTTATCGATCATTATCGAATGTTAGTGTTACGATTTATCGATAATTGTCGATTATTATCGAAAGTTATCGATAAGTGTTTAAAGTTATCGATAATTATCGATAGTTATCAATTAACGATTAATCGATAATTATCAGACTGAACAGACTTATCGATAAATCGATAACAATTTCATTTATCGCTCAGCTCTAGTACTTAGTAGGTATACGAATTCACGTAAACTGGGACCGATTTATTTGTGCACAATGCTGCATGGTTATAAAAAAAGCTGATTCGCGAAATTTAGTTATCAAATGTGAATGTGGAAATGAAGTAGCTGCCAACTGCCAACAATTCCACTACTGGACTGTTCTGAGGTTCATTTAAATTTGGGTAAATTTCGCCAACTTTTTTTATACCCTGGCAGCATTGTGCACACAGCAAATAAAATTAACACATCGGTTCCAGTTCACGTGAATTCGTATTCTGCCAACGCGGCGGCAAATGTGTTGGTACGTTTTTTCTCTTCTCGCTGACCATTGGTTTTCAAAATTCAAATGCTTGCAACGGACAATATTTTGCCTTCAAATTTTTTTTGATCGTTTTTTAATAACAAAATCTCCCGCTTTCAGTAAAAATGTGGAACCTGCCTATTGTACTGCCTGTGAATATAATGTATGAAATTGCATTCCTTCAAGGACAAGGACTGCAAGCTTCGTTCGTCTAAATGTATTATTATTTACATTACAAATTTACGCAATGCTTCTTAAGGGATCTATTTTTAGAACATTCCAATCCTATTTATAAAACCATTCCAATGATAACACAAAAAACATCCCGAGTTCCTGACATCTAACGATTAAAAAGGAAAATATTCGAATGGTCAAAATAAATGGTTTGTAATGCTGCCATCTAATGTCAATGTAACGCTCCACTTTCGATCGCCCACGGACTTTCAAACGATCGAACTGCCCCTAGCGGCGGCCAGTTGGCACATGGTCACAAACTGTTATATGGGATCTGCGCTTCTGATAGTTATAAATTCAATGGTGCTACTATCTTTTACACGGTTGCGTACACCTTAACTGCTAAAAACTGAGAATTAAACCAGAGTGAAACTTACATGCAATTGCAATTTTGAATTCAGTTTGCTATAAGTAGATTGAAAGAGACAGTGGGTAATATTATAGTTGCTTCCAAGGAAACAAGTTGCAGTAATGTACGGCCTAAACAAAGTGAGAGCTGTATACAGCAACACTATCTCATTGGTTAAACTATTTACACAGATACTTACATAAATAATCCTTAACAGCTCTTTCAAATAGTGTTAGTACATGTTTCTTTTCAGAACTTGATGTCGCCAGTTTAACTTCATCTTTTATCCAGGCCAACCATATTGTTGACGTGAGAGGAAAGTATTCCGAAAATCGATTATACGCCTCTCTCATCGACTTAATATCGCCTAGTTTACGATAAATTTCGACAACCTCTAGATGCACTTCGTAAAGATATTTGTTATTGGCCAGCTCCCCTTCCAGTGCAGTTGCTCTATCCTCAAGCTCCTAAAATTGAAAAGCTCATTTAAGATGATACAAAAATTGATAGTAGGTATGTGATTAAAGATAGAATCTCTGTAGGTACATAATGCCCACAAAATAAAGAAGTTAATGTCATGCAGATATTTCAGGGGGTGATAGTATTCGTCAAAATAAGAAAAAAATGCAAATATATGCATGGTCTAAAGAGCGTTGTTTACATTATACAGGGTGGCAAACTAGGTGATACATTAATTATTTTCGAGACTATTTTTTAGAATAAAGAATTTAGAAGAAGTATCAAAATATTTTATCTTTCAGAACTTTTTTTGGAACACCAAGCATGACATTTGAACTCTCTATTCCTTTGTTTAGCTTTCAGGTCTCTTGCACTATTCTCGTATCTGTCACTGTTTTGGATTTATCTGCATCGATGACAATTATCTGTGAGCAAAATAGCGAAATAATAAATACCTATGAGAAAAAAAATTAGTAGGCTGGGGCAGGTTATTTATTGTGGATATTATTATTATGTATCAAATTTGAAACAATTATCACAGAACATAAGAGAAAAAATTCAAAATAAGAGAAAAAAAATCGAAAAAAAATCGAAACTTTGCCACTCTGTATAATGGAAACGACGCCCTTTAGACCATGCATATATTTGCATTTTTTGACAAAATATTAAATATCTGCATGACATTAATTTTAATAACATTCTGTGTATTTATAAATATTTATAAATATACTAAAAGTGTTGTCATGTTTAAACCACGCACTCTGATTCAAGACCAGTAGATTCTTATATTTTGAAAATAAATAAACATTGCAGCTTACCTTGTCTTCTCCATCACTAGAAGAAAGTTCATCATCATCTGAAGTAACCATCTTATCATTGTCGCCCATAGGTACCACTATAAAAGAAATCAAAAACTAAGTATATTGATATACAATATACTTCAAACACATATAAGCGAGCATATAAGTAAGTACAACCATCCTCCTCTTCCCACAACTCGTTACACTAAAAAATTGATTAATAAAAGTGATATTTAAATAACACCAACTTAAAATGGCCAGTTTTTGATTTAACCATAAAAAATCCTACTTGCTCAGTCAACACAGCACCAATGATTTATTGATGTACATTTATGTATACCTTTCACATAGCGCTACTATTGACACAATCTATGCCAATAAGTATTTCTTAATCATCTATAGGTGGTGACGTTTTCTTTGATGGGACCTATCTATTAATGCAAATGAAGAGGAGTTCACATCAAAGTAACTTGAATTTGCAACTGAGATATAGGTACCATCAATTTGCATACATCTCAGTAGCTGTATCAAGTTGCTCTAAAGTGAACGCAAACTTGCTCATTGCCATGATACAATAAATATACATACTCATTGCAATGTTGCATGATAAAGCACCATTGCAATGGGCAAGTCTGCTCCGATGGCTAGTGTGGAAGTTGTTTCACATTTTTAGTGATATTTTCCTTAATATGCAAAATAATCACTAAACAAATCACAACTCAAATTCGGTATTCTCCAGTCGTGTGCTGGGCACATTAAAACGTCGTACGTCTCTAGATGTATGAACTTTCCATCACATAGTATCAAAATCAAACACAGAAATTATTCGGAATATGAATTCAAATTTACAACAAACCTTTGTGTTTTAAACTTTTTTGGATTAATTTATGGGAAAACAACAACTTAACCTTATATTTCCACAAAATAACCACAAAATCAAAACAAACTTTGGTTGAGTTCAGCAGATTCATACACAGTCGGTCGCTGCCAACCTAAAATCGACTCGACTCGTATATCTATATACAGGGTGTCCCTAAAAGGTCTGTACAACGCGCTACCAGGGGTTCTTGGTATTAAAATAGGACGATTTAACCCAACTTACCTCTAACCAAAAATGCTTCGGTAAGGCGCTATCTACCGCCAAAGATTTAAAAAAAAAATCGTTATTTTTATTTTATCGGAAAATGGTTTTGCCGATTAAAATGAAATTCGGCATGTGAATGTCTAATGTAAAAAGGGTCCTTGTGATATCATCGTTTTGATTGTAGTTGCTATGTAGGTGGTAAAATACTGACCATCCACATCTGAAGAGGTCTAAAACTTTTTAACTACTATTTTGACGATTCTGAATTTTTAGACACTGATAGTTTACTTGCAAGCATTTTTTGTCTCTTAATGAATATCACTATCTATGATGGTTTACGAAAAAAAAAAATTTAGGCATGATGAATGGCATGCACCATACATGCGATTGTTCCTCAAAAACCATAAGTGCAAGCAAGAAGTAGGTTATGACGATTTGGAAACCTGTGAGTATACTCCCTAACGCATTGGCGACCATTTCCACGACAGTATCCAAACACTAATAGCATATCAGTTAACTCTGCGTTACTGTATTGAAAGGCCATATTACAATTTTAACAATGAAATTTTAAGCCTTCAAGCAAAATGTAAATTGTTAAAGTTGAAGAAACAACAAACAAACGTTACGCCACTCTGTTTCACAGCCATCTTCTGATTTTTTAGGAACAATGGTGCATGCCATTCATCATGCCTAAATTTTTTTTTTCGTAAACCATCACAGATAGCGATATTCATCAAGAGACAAAAAATGCTTGCAAGTAAACTGTCTATCAGTGTCTAAAAATTCAGAACTGTCAAAATAGTAGTTAAAAAGTTTTAGACCTCTTCAGATGTGGATGGCCAGTATTTTAGCAACTACAATCAAAACCATGATATCACAAAGACCCTTTTTACATTAGACATTCACATCCCGAATTTCATTTTAATCGGCAAAACCATTTTCCGATAAAATAAAAATAACGATTTGTTTTTTGAATCTTTGGCGGTAGATAGCGCCTTACCGAAGCACTTTTGGATAGAGGTAAGTTGGGTTAAATCGTCCTATTTTGATACCAAGAACCCCTGGTAGCGCGTTGTACAGACCTTTTAGGGACACCCTGTATATCCGACATGACTAAAAATTCGCATGTTGATACTTTTTATCGCTCGGTATGTACTGCATGTTTTTGCGCAGGAGTAAAATGATCTTATCCATCACGCTTGGGTAATGCCGTGCGATCCTGAGGCGAAAGCTTTGAAATTGACTAATATTTTTGAAAAAGCATACAGAAAAAACAGGGAAAACCCGAAATTAGTGTAAGGTGTGTTGCATACACTGCAAAGTAGCCCATTACCACAAATATACAGAGAGTTTTTTTAAATGCGAACATAGGAGTTTGCATGCAATGTAATTTCCCTATGTTCGATTAAAAAAAAACACATCAATCTCTGAGGTGTGCGCGGTTCACATTCCCAAATCGTGCAACTTGTGTGACTATGAATTGTGAACCAACCTTCAATTATTTGTAGGTCATGTGCACCGGTATTCTACTAATTTGATTTATTCAATAATTCAATACATAAATTAAGAAAATAAATAACGCAAACAATTACAATAAATGTTCGAAGTGTCCTCCTTGACATTCTAAGTAATAACCTAACCGATTTCGTAATTAAATTGGACGGCGGTATTTTTAAAAATGTGACAGCTGTCAATTGTATCTACTACTCATTTGAACTACTCAATAGATTGATGTGTTTTTTTTTAAAATCGAACATAGGGAAATTACATTGCATGTAAACTCCAATGTTCGCATTTTAAAAAAATTCACTGTATGTACATCATTGAACTGTATACTAACGTAACTGGAACGGTTGCGCTATAACAAATAAATGAGGCAAATAAATTTGTAGGCAACCCGCAGTAGTAAAGTATCTGTCTCTTTTTATCTTATTACTTTAAGCGATATTTATCTCTATCCTGAGTGAATATGCTTAATTGTAAAATCTTTTTGTATTTTAAATTGATAATTCATAAATAAACTATTCTATTGAATACTTTTGTATGTTCGCAAACATTTAGACCATTTAAAATTAAGTTTAAAGTTGTTTTTTTGATGCATATAAAAGTATGGGTTTATAATGTCTAAAATTTTCTCTTTTATCAGTATTTTAGTTGAAATTGTCCTACTTTGTAGGTGTATGATTTATAATTTACAAAAAAGATGAATTTTTTAAAATGCACTTTTATTTTAAATACACACATACATAATACCTATAGTTTATACATTTAACAATTATTAAATAAAATTAATTTATTCATTTTTTGCCGAACTGTTGCAGATTTTCCATGAAATTCTAAATTTTTTAATTTGGAATGATGGTGCATTCTGCATTTCAAGAAGACATCCACTATTTTCCGTATGATCTGAATTTCATGGGAATCTTCAGCAAGAAACTCTTCTGTTACTGGATGCGTTGGCTTAAGGGCGCGCTATCAGTATTGTGTGTTGCCTATCTCACAATAGCTTTCTTATGGGAAACATGCCTAACGTAATTCATACCGTTTTTAAAAACTATACATTTTTTTTTAATGTTTGTTGTTTCTTGTTCTTAAATGTATGTAAATTATGAGTGAACAGTTTATATTGCATTAAAACTCATAGCACATTCTCTGAAAGTGTATAAAGTAGACGTTCGATTGCAATGGCAATCTTTTGTGTATAATTCAAAGGTCAAAGAAGTTTTTGAAATATAAATGGTTTCTCCAGATTCTTGCACATATAATAATCAAAACGTGAGGTGAAAATCAATTAAATGTGGTTTCTAAAGCACTAACGGTATGAACTCCGTACACATGAAGAATAACTTGCAAAACAATTATAGTAAAGAAATTTGTTCTCAGTGTAGTTCAACGTGTATCTACTAAGATGGCTACGGTATACTATTCTTAAAAAGCGGGTAATTTAAAGTGGAGTACTTATTGGATGTACCTACTTTTTAGCAGTAAAACTTAGTCCTTTATTGGTTTTTTTGGTCATTAGTGCAGATAAAATGTTTCCAGCAAAAAACCGTATCATAAGTAGGAATTACACTGGTTAACGTTACCTACATTCAAAATTTGGGTTAGGAAACTGGCAAAAGAAGTATTTATAAACGTTGAGTGAAGGATCAGGGGATTTTTCACTCTACCTTGTAATTAATTAATATAAAAATTTCAGAGCTTGCAACTGGAAGAAGTGGAAAGCGATTATTTTAAAAAAGAGTTTACGTTAGTTGATGTTTCTGAATTGATAATACACAAAGTGTTAATACTGCTTACGTTTACCCGACAAAGCGCTTCATGAGCGCTACTTAAGGGCAGGAATACTCTTATAAAAATTTCTCGCCCCAGTTACACTGTCGAGATGTACATTGTACAATACCACCGTAAGTCGGATGTACTGTGGTATTTACACCTCGGCAGTGCTATCAGACAACTCATGCAAGAAATCACTAACTGGAGATTATATATTCGATAATAAATGTACATGTCACTTACAACTAAATTTAAGCACTATTATAATAACGAAACCCCACCGATTGAATCTCGGTTCCCATAATTTGAATGAACTACATACTATCGGTATTGTATCAAAATATGATTTTATTTCACATCCAAACAAATAACATTCAATTACGAGCTAGTATTGCAAATCTGATTTTCCTAAAAATATTGCGTGGATTGTCCTTTGTGATCATAAAGGCTGAGTCACGTATCAGTTAGAGCGTGTATTCCTTAAGGCCGATTCACATTATTATCGGTCAGAACATGTTTGTAAGAAACTGACCATGATGTGACCGATGACCTTATATAAACGCACTGCAATGACATCATTCGGTAAAATGATAATCGGAAACAAATTTACTCCGTGTCGTAAGTCAATCTTCGGAAATGTGTACAGTCGAAGGATAGTCTAAAACAATCCATTAATAGAACTATATTAATATAAAGATCCTCAACTTTACTTACCTAGGTAGGTACTGTTTTTTTTGTTATTTTGCAGTTAATAGAAAATCAGGTAAACATAACCTAACTTTGAATGGCATTTCAGGAATTACAATTACGCACTGTTACTGTTATTGGCATTCAATTGAATTACTGAACAAAACCGCATATTATGGTAAATAAGTATTTTTAGGTAGAATTTATTCCGCACGATCACTAAATTCCTTTTTTAGAGTTACGGAACGATATTATAATGTTACAGGTGGTAACCAAAGATAAGCAAAATACTATTTTTAATTTTATCTCAAGCAAAGACGAATGCATGCGAGTGTTAGCGACCTAACGAAGTACAAATAGGGATCGCGGATTCGGGATGGCAGCACAAAGCGACGAATATTTCAAAAATACTTCTTAGTTCACTACTCTAACACCATGGCGTGCAAACGCAGCCATCTTTGCTGAAAAATTGTGAATTGCCGCGTTTGTTAATAAAAGTTTCAGATTGTAGGTTATTTTTTAAAACACCTCCTTGTTCGATTAGAAGGCGAAACTGCACTTAACAGCCACACAATGATGCACCATTTTCAAAAACAGGCACTACACAAAATATTAATAATTTAACAAGATGAACTCTGTTCTAATTGTCTCTATACACAGCAAACAAAACTCTGTGCTACTCAGAATAAAATAAAAAAGCGTCCTAACCCCCAAATTTGGGTATACTTTTGATGCCGGTAGAAATTTACAATCTACCTGTGCGAGTTGAAGAGATGGATATCCTTTAGTATAACGATATCTCTCTCTGGAGTGCCACTATGGGGATCTCGCTTATCTTAGAGATAGGAATTTGGTTAAATGAGGGCAAAGTTGCGAATTTTCGTGTTGAATATAATAATCTGAAAAGAAATTTAAAATACCTTCAATAGTTTTGAAAATATTGCAAAAAACGAAAATTTCTGATTTTGGTTTTAAATTTTTTCATAGTCGAACACTTTTTAATGCAGATTTCGAATACGGCATTCCGTTTTTAATAACGTTTAAGATGATGATTTTGACATTTTGAGACTAGGTCTTTTTTTCTCTTTACAACGATCACACAAGGTGGTTCAGCATCACATTTTTCCTAAAATTACAATTTTCATTTTCTGCGGAGAGTGCTTTGGAAAAACAAATTGTTCTTTTCTTATGAACAAAAGGTTGACTTATTTCAAGTAGTTTCACTTTACGTGTGTGCTAGAAAATATTTTTTATTCTTATGTATTCTAAACTATAATTTTCTTGCAAAACGAAGATTCAATTCTATTCAGATGAAAATCGAATTTTCTCAACACAACTAGTTCATTGCCAATACTGCAACCAGACAGTTGGATCAAAGTGTCAAACTTTTATTCACAATAAAAGAACCACGAAAAGAACGTTTTATTTTTCCAAAGCACTCTTCCCAAAATTAAAAATGTTAGGCATGGAACCAATTGTTTCATTTGAATCAAATGTCAAACAGTGTCATCTTAGTGTTCAAATTAATTTGTTTTTGATGAGGGTTCATGATGATCTTATTTTGTACAAAAAAATCATCTACAAGGAGGAATCAACCTTTTGTCTAGGTTTGAACTGAATCGACGGAATCTGGGCTCACAAAAATCTCCATCTTGTAATGGGAGTGGAATACCAAGTTCAATTCAGCATTGATCTCTTACAGAAATTATCACCAAATTTGAAGTTCAGTTTTCATTTTGGCTTGGAGTTTTATATCCAAGGTGAAACTAAATAAAAGTACCAAGTACAGCTACCATATCCGATCTTTATTTCTAACAGTATATCAATACTGGAGCTGGATGTGTTTCCAATGTATGTTATAAATGTTGATGGAATTTTGCCAAAACATTGCAATCACATTATCTTATGCGACATTATGCTTTGACAAAAACTAATTGAAATAGTGTAATGATTTGTATTAAAGTTTAACAAATTTTATTACAAACACAACAACTTAAATACATACGGCAAATTGTAAAAACAGTATTTAAATATAATTATTGGTCAACCTGTCTTTTCACTATGACTGTTTTGTAGCAAGTTTCTTCCCTTTTATTACTACAGGTTTATTTTTTAATGTCCCCTTTCTGCGTTTAGTGTTCTGTAATGAAGGTGTTATTATTAGTTACAGAATTATACCACTTACCTTTTTTGATACAAAATTTTGTGTCTTCACTATTCTCTTAGAGAATGGTATTTTAGGTCGATTAAATTCATCAGGTTTCTTCACTCTGTATATTCGTACCAGCCAGTGCTCTGTTGTATAGGCTTCTTCCAAGTAAGTCAAGTTAATGTCTTTATTGCCAATTACGGCACCTCTAGTCCTGTCATATCCTCCAGGATTGCGATAGTCAAGTCTGACTTCTCCAAAACGATAGTAACTTAATTTATACATTAAACAGTTTAGTAATGTCGGTGAACCTTCTGCGTCAACCCGAAATTCTCCGTGTTCAGTGAAGTAGTCGGCTTCCTACGTAGATCAATGAGACATCTGGTATCACTCACTAAAGAGCAACTTACTCGTATATCTTTCGGATGTTCGCCTTCCGCAATTCTAACCATCCACAAGAACTTATTTATGTCATCACCTGAATAACCGATGACACCACCAAATATCACAAGAACGTAATCTACACCTAACGAAGTCATAATTTCGTAAGCTGCACTTTCGTTCGACGACATTGCCTTTCCAACCAACGCAATGTGACTATTGTTCCAAGTATTATTATCGACTAGCGTTGTGCGATTAGCCATTCCCGCAATTTGATAACCATAATCCCACCTTAAAAATGCAATTTGAAACTCCTAAACTTGGAAAAGAGACGCTTACCAGCTCATTACTGTTGCATCGTCCGCCGTATTCTGAGATAACCAATAGTAGGCCTCGCGAAAATCATCTAAAATCTGTCTGGAACCGTCGTTTCCGTATGAAGCTAACACAATACTTGGACTAGAATACGCGTTACTTGTTACCCACGTGCAATGAACGGCAAATAGCATGAGCAACAATAACATCACTATTATTATAATGCTTCGTAAGTTAGCACCAATTCCATCAGATTCCTTCACTTGCTCGTGTTTCATTTTTGGAACACGGCCGGCCTAAAAATGGGACAGTTAATTCATTTCGGTCAAGCCAGTATAAATGAATTGGTATATGGTATTGTGGCAATTTCGTGCAGTGCATTTTTAAGTCATCACTCGGGGCCATCTATACACTGAATAACCAATGAGCAGATGTTGAGTTGAATTTTGAGCTACTGTGCATCAGCCCTCGTCGGTTGAAAACTAATTTGTAAGATTATTTTGGTTTGGGAAAATCAAGGGTGCCATCGAAGTTTTCAAAAAACGTTTTTTGCATGCGAGTAAAATGCTCCTTGGGGATGAGGTACACAAGGTGTTAAGAAAAGTTGTTCAGAATGAAAAACTGGGAAATGTGCAAAAATTCAGTCTTAGGCCTACTACGATTTTTTTGGTGTTTTTATTTTTTAACTGGATTTTTTGAGGAAATGAAAAATGAAAACAAAAGTTTTTTAAAAATTTGTAGGCACCCTGGATTTTTTGAATTAAAATTATGTCACAAATTAGTTTCCAACCAGAGCTGATCCCCAGAAGCTAAAAATTCAATTCGAACATTTTTTATATTTACATGACACGACCAAACAATCAGGGGCCATACTCATATCTATGAATAAGAAATATGTGAATTTACTTGGTGGCGATACAGTTAATTGTGACAATCGCAAAAATCAGGTGGGGTGAAAATAAGGCAACCTATACAAACAAGGCTACTACAACACCACTTGGATGATGTAAAATAGAATATTCCAAACCTTATCATACAGTCTTCGATTGCTGCTAACAGTCTGCTCATCATCAACGTCACTTTCACTTGATCGAGGCGTGTCTTCTTCGCGAAGGAACAGGTCAAACAGTACGGAAAACGCAATGCCGCTCAACATGCAAACGACCGGAGTAAGTGTCAACATTAATCGTACCATTACACCGGCAAAATATACTGCACTAAGTGCATACAAAACAACTAAAATCATTTTTTCTAATGGTAAACGATTAGAACTATACCAATCTTACCAAAGACTCTCTCATCGTTGATGTTCTTTATGCAGTACCACAGTCCTGCCGGGAATGTAGTGATCAGAACATGTAAGTCGAAAAAGAACGAAAACCAAGTTGTAGGTTGATGTTCGGAAACCGAAGCGATGATGGGTATGTGAATTTTGGCATATGCCGTATCCCATAAAGAGTAAAATCTGCACAAAGTTATTATAAACCAATAAATTACATAAGAAGCTTACCTTCCACTCCAAGGTGCAACGTATCCGGCATAGGTGAGTACCACAACTGTCAGAAACACGACGCCTGCAGAAATTGAAGCACCCACTATGAATAACGATTTAAATTCTGCTTTAGACAAGACACTCTGTAGGTACTTTAAAACAGCCACCGCAATGATCAATGCAAAAACACCTGAAAATTACCAAATAATTCGAGTCTCAATTTTGCTGCACTTACCCGATGCCGCCATATGCTCACTAGTCCGTATCGGCTGAAAGCCGACAAACGGTATTTGCATCGAAAACAAGAGACCCAAAATGTAAAAAGTCGTATAACTTGTGAACAGCCTGTTGGAATATCGTCCCATTAGCAACAGGACAAAGACGTGAAGAGGTATCAAGTTGATAATGAACACATATCCACCCCACGCAGATACCATGTAGAAGTATGACAGGGCGGTCATACATGACCAAAATATTGATCCGGTTTTTACAGACTTTACCCATAAGTAATACGTAAATTGTAGTGCAAATATTGCGATTCCTTCATTGTCGTAACTACCTGCCACTGAACGACTGATATATCCAGGCACAATAGCGATGAAACATGCTGCAAATAGTCCTGCTCCCGCCGACCACAGTTCTTTGGTAAGTAAATAAGTGGAGATAGCAGTCAAACCGCTGTAAGAAAAGTTATCATTATAAATTGTATACAAAGATATTTTACTTTAAATCGTGACGTACTGAGTTATAAAATGATTCAAACACTTAATTATATCTATCTATCTATTCTTTCTATCTATTTTTAACCTTACTGTTTTGTTGTTGTAACAAAAACTGTTACGCCTATGCAACCGCCTCTTTTCCCAATAAAAATGGAAATGGAATGCTTGTGAATAGTGACTGTCTAACTATTTTACTTACGTAAAATGTAGTGATGTAGTCAACAAACATTTTTGAAGCGCCATTTCTAAGATTTGATCCAAAGTTAGTATTTTTTAAATGCAACACCATCTATTTTAACGTCAATTTTTTGCATTCTATTTCCTGATTACATTGATGTAATCACAACCTACATTTTTTATATGCCTAATTATACACTGTGTCCAAGGATGTCTATCTAGAGCATCTCTTAAATCAAAGAAGATACGACGATGGTCAAATTAGAGAAACTAGTTTTATCCTTCATGGTACTCTAATGAAAGGTCTCAACGAAAGGAATTAATTTCTACCAACCATAGCCCTCCACCTCAACCTCTTATCGTGAACGGGTATATTCCCTTATACCTCAAGAACGGATTGTCAAAAGAGGGTACTCACAAAGGGCGATTGAGTCGTCAGCAAGAAATATATCCATTGGTGATGTTAAAACAAAAGCTATTTCGGTTAAAAAAAATGCGCTTTATCTGCACGAGAGTTGTGCACAATTTATACTTGTTTTCTGATGCTATTTGAAGAGACAAAAAAATACAAAACACTTTCTCATTGCCACTTTTTCAGTTCTATAAGATAGCGTTGAGAAACGTTGAATACAACAATTCGTTTTGGAGAAATCATCAACTTTATTTTTTTATATGGCCCATAAAAAACACGCTGTATTAAGTAGAATTTTTTATTACGAATACAATGATATACGACATACCCGCAATTCACGTTTAAAGGTTTTGTCGAGGGCTACCACATTCCCTTTGTCAATACCCGCTTCCGACGTCCCGTTCACGCGCAATTCGCATTTTGGTAGATGTCGCTAAAAGCCCTCCACAAAATGGTACTCCATTTTGGGACACTTCTCATATCTCGGAGCTTCTATTGACAACATGTGTAAGAGAGACTGCGATTCGAGATTTAAAAAACTTTAAACCGCGGGACAAAATTCGCCGCTGAAGATACCTCTTGGGCGCCCGAAGTCAACTGCCCCTCGACGACGTGCGCCTTGCACAAGGTGGTTAATTTCGCCCTACGAAAACAAGTTAAAAAGTAATCGTAAGCGATTTACATAAAGCGCATTTCCACTTGCATTCATTTCCCATTTGTAAGATGCAACTTTTGTTAAAATCGTAAACATCCGGCCACAAATATGAAAGATAGCGTTGCACATGAGCAATCGATTTTTGACATGCTATTTCAATTTCAGTTTATAAGAAGAATTTCATTTCAATGCTTTTCTAAATAAGAAAGTTGGAACTGCGCATGTGCAAACCTAAATTTTGAAACTAATGTTAGATTTTCCTTTGTTCCAAGCGCCAAAGTATCAAATTTCACTTAAATGCTTCCATAGATAAAAAAAGTTGGCACTGCGCATGGGCAAAATAAAATTTTTAAACTGGCGCTAGATTTTCCTTTATTCCAAGCAGCTATGTATCCAATTTCATTTAAATGCTTCCATAAATAAAAAAGTTGACACTGCGCATGCGCAAAACCAAATTTTGAAACTGGCGTTAGATTTGCCTTTATTCCAAGTGCCTATGTATCACAATTCATTTAAATTCTTCCATAAATAAAAAAGTTGGCACTGTACATGCGCAAAAACAAATTTTGAAACTGGAATTTGATTTTCCTTTATTCCAAGCGCCTATGTATCAAATTTCATTTAAATTCTTCCATAAATAAAAAAAAGTTGGCACTGCGCATGGGCAAAATAAAATTTTTAAACTGGCGCTAGATTTTCCTTTATTCCAAGCAGCTATGTATCCAATTTCATTTAAATGCTTCCATAAATAAAAAAGTTGACACTGCGCATGCGCAAAACCAAATTTTGAAACTGGCGTTAGATTTTCCTTTATTCCAAGTGCCTATGTATCACATTTCATTCAAATACTTTTATAAGAAAAAAAGTTTGCAATTCGGTTTATAAATGGTCGAGATGCGAAAAGGGCACTGTGAATTTGGAATCGATTCGACTCAACTTTTGGCATTGCGTATTATATGGCTAAGGCTATGCCCATATTGAATTTCATGCAATTCAGTTCATAACTAACGGAGATGCAAAAGCGATCGGTCATTTCTAAACAAAATTATCGTTCACACGGACAGATAGAGAAACAGACAGGCAAAGGAACAGACGGACAGACCAACAGACAGACGACAGACAACAATACAAAATTATAAATGATCTCTAGGATGGTTAATAAACGGCAAAAGTGTAAAATTATGGAACATGTAAAAAACGGTTTGTTGGTTTTTTTACAATAACTTTTTTAGCCATAAACGCAGAAAAAATTCCTTCCTTGGTGCAAGCCTTGACACCATAACGAATCAAATAGCGAAAAAAGTAGAACAATAGCTCTTAAGATAAAGAACTAGTAGCGTCGCAAAACGAGCGGACGGACAAAGTGGCCACAATAGTGCATTTTTTTATTTTTGTGGAAATGCGCTAAAAAACAAAATTCTGCCACTCAGAAGTTGTGCGCCTTTACAAGATCTTTCCAACGACATCATTTTGAAATCAAAACTGTAGAAGAACATAGGAAAACACTAAAAAATCACCATGTTCGTATAACACGCTCAGGGATGGCGCCCAGATGTCGCCGACCCCACATCATGTAGCCCCGTACCTAGAGCTGTTAATTACAGAATCCCAGTAGGTGCACATACACTCAACTTTCTATAAGTGTCTTCTACACGCCCTCATTTGCTGCCACCCAACCAGCTGACCGAAGTGAGATTAAAAGCTACCTTTTTACAAATAAATTTGCAAAAAAGCGTTAAAAAGTAGCATGTTAAATTTTAATATGACTACAATTCACAATTCAAAAAGGACATGGCAGGATGCTCCACCACTTGGAATCGTACAATTGCAAAAATGCCCTAAAGAGGTAAAAACTGCCTGTTATAGATAATTTTACGTAGAATCCAGTGGTGAAGTCAAGTAAGATTTTGGGCGACCTTTTCTGTGATTTGAACCAAAGTTGGTATTTTTTAAATGCAATAGGTACTTAATTATAATATTATAATATTTTAACGTCTATTTTTTGCATTCTTTTTCCTGATTACAACACAACCTATAATTTTTTATATACCTAATTATATATTATTTAATATTATTCAAATTTTTGAAATGACGTCACTTGTCAGCCATTTTTATTGATTGGTATCGACTACTTTAGTTATCATGGATACAAAAAACAACACAAAATCTCCATGAATCCATGACCTACTATTTAAAAACTTAAAACAATGTTTTCATTTTTAGTTCATGCCCAAAATTTAAAAAATATACGTTGTGATACATCAATGTAACCAAGAAAAAGAATGCAAAAAATTGACGTTACTTACCTGTTACTTATTAAAGACGAAAATTCAACTCTATCACCACTGTTTAAATACTTTATAGGCAATAGGTACTACTGTTGTCATTGTCAGATATTAATGTTAATCCGAGTAAAGGGCAGCACTTAGATAATGACAAAGCTGTATTTAGTGATACAGAGTGTCCACTATTTTTTTCAAATAGAACTACCACTATTTTATTTCGCTATTCGATTGTCCTTTGTGTTCCCTTCAATTTTTATAAGGGGTGTTCTGTGTTTAAACCCCGTAGTTTTTAGGTTATTTCATAATTTTCAAAAAAATATCAATACTTTTCACAGAAGTACCTACCCATTAATTGCCCACAAATAAACAAGTGTCTTAATTATTTACTGCAAGTGTACTTACTCCCTATTTCGCAGTAAAATAAGGCCAATTAAAAAAACTAGTTCATCTTTTTTGAAATCCACGTCTTAATTAGTCTTATTATATATAGGGAATTATTATATAGGGAATACACTTGCAGTAAATAATTAATTTGTTACACTAGTTTACTTGTGGGCAAATAACGGGTAGGTACTTTTGTGAAAAATATTGAATAACCTAAAAACTACAAGGTTTAGACACAGTAAGTACTTCCCTTATAAAAATTGAAGAGAACACAAAAATGACTATCGTATAGCGAAATAAAATAGTGGTAGTTCCATTTGAAAAAGAATACACTTTGAAATTTGAAAGTTTTATCTTTTCAACACCCTGTATCACTAAATCCAACCTTCTCATTATCTAAGTGTTGTCCTTTACTCGGATTAACATTATTGTTCAAATCTATTTCTTAACTTCAAAAAACAAGGTCGCTACGATTCATAGAAGTGAGGTTTGCTTATGGAGAATTATTCAGAAAAAAATTAAAAAGATGGCCTAAATTGACAAAAAATCAAAAAGTAAATACCTTTAATGTAGAGGTTAACAAATAACATCGAAACAACTAAAATTATACAAGGTGTTCTCTTTAAAAAAATCAGTTATTTCTTTACACTGCAAAAATGAGACGCCCTAGACGGTCAAAAATAATTTCTATAGATGTGCAGTTGACATTGCAACAAAAGATTATTTATATTTTTTACCGACCCACGTACTGTTGTAGGACTATGTAGATATATTAGATTAGTAAATTAGCCTATATTCTGCTCCTGATAAAGATACAAAATACCATGTGATTTTAATGTGTGAATGATGCGCAATCACATATGGCCATGACTTATTGCAATCTGGTATGGTCTCAAACAGAATTACCCATTCCACACCACAGCACACTTTAAACGTTCTTGACATGAGCCTCTTTATTTACTTTAGATGTCAGTAGCATATGGATTATTGAAATCTAACTAAGTAGAATGCAAAAAACAATGCCTAAACTATGACAAATATCAATGGAATTTTGGAAAAACACATAATTTGTATCTTTTCATAATAATAAAAAAACCTTGGCATAATATCGAACAATAATGATATGTAACTGTTGCCCTTGGCAAAACACTGCCAATGTCAGTGGATTATAGTTTATTGCTTTGCTATAAAAATGTGATTGTGACCAATGTGGAAATACAACAATCATAAATAGGTGTCATTGTTTGAAAATCAAACAAATTGGGATTTGTTTTATTTAATTTCAGATTATAATTGACGACAATTGAAAACCAATTTCTGTGCAATCTTAAATGAATCGTCGTGCCGCCTAGTTTTTGTTGCCCAGTAGTTGCCCCAGTATGGCATACCGATGCTGGGTGCCACCTAGTGAAAGATATTTCAAGTATGCTCTACAGTGAAGTTGAAACATGCAGTCCAAGGGATAATCACTCACAACAAGCCTGTCCACGAATTTATTACACTCTGTAAAAAATGAAACACTGAGCTTAGATCACAGCTGGAATATCATTTGAATTGCGTGGTAACTAATTGAAAGTTGAAATGTTGTTTTACAAATTTTCAAAAAGTAATTTTGGATTCGATACTTTCTAGTTAAAAATCCCCAGACACCAAATTCGTCGAGATCAGATTTTTTTGCAATTTTATTTAGGACTTTAAGTCTTGTGGTAAGAAAAAAATGTTTACAAAATCCAAAAGATCATACTCAGAAACCTAGAAAAAGCCATTGGTTCCATTCATCTATGTATGTATTATGGTTGCTAAGAAAAAAATTGAATAAAAAATACAAGAAAAAATACCCATTCAAATTACACAGTGCAGCACATGTTTTGCAAATCGTAAACGATAACAATAAATCGAAGTGGGCTAACAAGATAAAATTTTGAATTTTCACTTTTTAAAAAAAATAAACCATAAAAGAAACAAATGATTGAACTTTGATGACCTTTAATCCATTAATTGTAAATTGAACGGATTCTTCCTTGGAACAAGAGGAACTTATACATCACATTTCAAGTGCCTCTAAGACCTTCTGTTATGACAGATAGGTAAGGCTAAAAAGGACCTATTGGGTCCTTAATAAATGAAGTGGGCTGTTTTATTAAACCTTAACAAAGACTGTCAAGTTACAGATTTATAATTACCAAAACTAACCAAAATGTAAAACGTATTCAGAGACGCTCGCAAAGACGTATACGAAGGCATTTTACCTTCAAAGCTAATTTTTGTAAGATCCATTAAATTCAGATAAGTAAGCCTAAAATATAAAAAAAATGATAAATGTCCTTTGTGCTTAGGATGATAGTATTAAGCAAATAATGGGAAAGATGTGTGAAATGCTATCATTGGTTCCCTTGCTTATCAAGTACACGTATATAACTAATTTACTAATCTGTATCCAACCACTTACAGGTAAACATAGTACCTACCATCAATAAGAAGGAAGAATATGTTTGACCAATTAAAAATATAATTTTGAGATCCACACTGTAAATGTATTTGCACCTGCACTTACTTACCTAAATATTGGTGCTAGGAACACACATACATCACGTATGTGTACATCGATATTTAATAAATGCAAAACATAATGAATGCTGCCCGATGTAATCATTAAACCGGGATAGACGGTACCTCCGACGATCCTCCCCAAAGGATACCATGCTCTTTCATCAAACCAGTTCAAGAATTGGTAAAAACCATTCTCGACCATGTAGGCGGTGGCCCTATAGTTAAACCTGACGGCGAAAAATTTGGTGAAGAATTTGTAGGTGAAAATTTTAAGCCACTTACCATGGATCAAATTCATGAATGATACTTTCAAATCTAATAACCGCAAATAAACGAGATGAGAAACCGGCGACCCACGCTAATAAAAGTACCGTGAAAATTATTAAACTACTTAGTCCTGTTTTGCTATTTATTTTCAACATCGTGAGTTTTGCCTACCGGCTTGACGATACTTCACCTATACGGTACACATGACACGCGTACATTTGTAACTCGTCAGTCGTCTGCTTATCTATAAAAAGGCAGTGTTGCCAAATTTAGCGGTAAACAAAAATTTCATTCAATTTCCCATTGTATTTGGTTGTTCGGCGTTATTACTCGATAATTTAATTAGACTTTCAAACGTAATCACTTTCATGAATATACTAAGTACACAATTAACAAGTCATGATTACATATACAGAGCGTGCCGAAAACGATGTTATGATTCGCAGCATTTCGAACAATGGTAAACGGTTATGTACTACCATTATACCATACAATGGTAGGTACTACCTTGTACATTATCGAATTCATAACTGTAAAGTAATAAAAAGCTAAGTAAAGATGTATCGCATTATGCTCTCATTCTTTTTATTACGATTGTTACCGAAATTTGACATGTAGAAATACGCATGTAAATTACATGTAAAAATTTTACCGTCTAAAGGTATTGTACGCTTCCTATGAAGCCTCTGACGCGTGTGGTGACGCGGTGCGGCCAACGCAATGCACCGCCTCAATAGAAGCATGTGCTAACCTGGTATATGCGGCGGCCGTCTCCAGTTACATGTGTAAAGTCACACCGCGTCAGACGCTTCATAAGAACGTACCTTTACGCATGCAACTGGAGACGCCGCCGCATGCAGGTTAGAACATGTTTCCATTGCTTTCTATTGAAGGTACGTTTCCTATAGCGTCTGACACGGTGTGGCTTTTACAAATGCAACTGGAGACGGCCGCCACATGCAGGTTGGAACATGCTTCCATTGCTTTCTATTGAGGCAGTGCATTGCGTCAGCCTCATCTGCGTAAGACGCTTCATAGGAAACGTACCTTAAAACGAGTTTAACATCATAACAATAAATTTATGTCAATTAATTCTATATTAACTTTACGTAAGAAATAGGTCTTTCGTCACTAAGTATATAAAGAATAAAAAAAGGACTTTTACATTCCACAAATGTATAAGATATTGGCATTACCTACTTTTTTTTATCAATCTTTTAATCGTTAAATAAAGAATAAAAACATTGTTTAAGCATATAAAAAATCAATATTAATAGGCCAGAATATTGACTTACTTATTTTTGGGGGTGGGGGGTGTGTGAAGCCACTTACTGTGATAATTATAGTTCCAATTTTGTTTTGTTTGCCAAAAAGACTAAAAAATAATACATTTTGTGCTTTCTAAACAGCGCATATCAAATCCTTTCTTAAATTTAGAAAAAATAATTAAAACTTTGTTGTCCAAAATTTATTATGTAGGGATGCACGTGTGCCCATCCTGTGACGTAATCAGGGCCGGGGCTATAATGTTTTAATGTCCTGAGCTATATTTTGACAAAAATTATCCACAAGCCCAGATATAGGCCGATTGCAAATGCTGAAAAAAAATAATTTACCACATTTTGCAAGTGTAGGGGTGCCACATTTGATTGCGTTAAAATCCGGGTCACAGAGGGATGGTGACCGAACATTAGGTATGACCGGGTAAAATATACCACATTCAAAAATTTAATGGGTACCACGATTTAAATTACATAACTTTCACGAAAAAATGGTTGTTTTTTGTTGCTAGTTTTTTTATTGTTATATTTATTTTTTTAATGTCATACCTATTAATCTCATTAGGTACCTACATGTTTTTAACGCACAAAAAGAATATTTTAATAAAAAAACAAAAAAAATAAAATGTTAAACGTGTATCAATAAAATTTAACAAAAGCATGTTCTGGAACAAAAACCAACATATTAAACAAAAAAAACTGAGGAGCTTGGTTCACTATAACCACAGACAACACCCACCGTATATGTCACCATTGAATTTATAAATTTAATATGTCACGATCGAGGTTTGCGGCTATTTATTTCTTTTGGTTCGTGCAGTGTCGCCACTGGGTATTTGGGTTGGGCAAGTGTAAATTTTGAATTTTTATTCAAGACGTTGCGTTAGTTTTCCGGGATTTATATATGAAACACCGGGATCCGGGGCAATCGCGGCCATGTAGCATCCCTATGCAAGTGGTGCCCTGGGCTATAGCCCAATTTACCCATTTATAAAAACCTGGGGCCTGAACCTAACTAAAATTAATAATAATGAGTGAAAAGATTCAAATAGATTTACCTAGGGGCAACGGAGCAAAACAACACACAAAAAGCGGTGGGGGGACATTATCAATATGTATTTATCACAAGCTTTTGACATTCGACGATTAGGCGGGAATCGCCATCTTGAATTTATAGCAACCTACTGAACTGTGTTCTTCTAGATATGCTGGATTATCATTTATATCTGGACCAACAACTTCCAAAGCCAATTTGGAAGGGTTAACCCTACATATATACGTTATCGGCAATCTGTATAGGTAATTCAGGTTTTCTATAGCTACAATTCCTAGGAAATGTGTATAATAATTGATGAAAGGAAAAATGTACAGCCCCTTTCGATGGCAGCACTTTCCCTTCCCAAAAGTTTTTAAAAAAAAGCACCCCCAATTTATCATTATGAATATTTCTTAATCACACTCTGAATTACATACATTCCCTACCAATTTTATAGAATACTGAATGCCGTTAACATACACAAAAAAAGTAAAACTTTGGGCAACTAAAAAAAATAAATTGGGAAACCTGAATAAATCACAGTTGTCGGATTTTATTAATTCCATTTCTTATGAAAGAAGGTATAAAATAAGATACAAAAATTCTCGGATGTGGTGTACAAAAAAAATGCCAAAATAAGTGGGTTTAATATTATACATGATTAAAACAATGTATCTTTATAGGAAAACAATAACAAACTGTGTGTGAATGAAGAGAAGTTCATTTTCAAATTTTTTGCTAAAATAGGTTTATAATATCAAAGTATAACAAACATAAAAATGGTATTCAAAAAAACTTCCTCCTTGAACGTAGTGACACTATTTTCTATTATCCTGTTGGTCACAGTCACGACTAATGTGGCCTGGCTCACCACATACGTAACACGTCTTCCTTCCCTCCGGACAATTCCTCGACAAATGTCCTTTTTTGTTACAGTTGTAACAAACTTGTGCGGCCGAAGAACCACCAGCTTCGGGGCAACTACGCGCAATGTGACCGGGTTTATTACAATTGTAGCAAGACGGCTCATCAGGGCTTTGTGGACAATCCTTTGCGAAATGCCCCTCTCCGTTACAGCGATAACACCTCTCAGACTCCTCCTTGCACTCACGCGCAAAGTGTCCAAATCTATTGCATTTGTAACATTTCTCGCGGCCACGGCTGAAACTATCGCGAGAACCACTATCTCGGTTTCCAGGTTGAGAACACTCCCTGGCGAAATGTCCTGGTCGGCTGCATTTGTAACAGACACTGGAACTCATTGTAACTTATCTAGAACAAGAAAAATAGCGGTAGCGATTTGGTCAGTCAAGAAAGGCTGGAGATGAATAAGAGGTCGTTACAATGACTGACATGTGATAAATGCCACTTGACTTTCATCATGCTGTATTGAGGATATAAGTGAGGTTATGCATAAAAAATTAAGCAGATGCTACGGCAAAGCTTGTTGCAAATAATAAATAAGTTTAGCAATGCTCTTTGTATTAAAAAATCAACGGTTTTTATCAACAACTAAACTTA